AGTGTCTTAAGGAAGGGGTACTTGGATTTATTTGCCTGCAGACCAGCAGTGTTTGGGCTAGTGGGGGCCAGGAGAAGCAAGCCTGCATGAAGGGTCTGACTAGACTTGGGGCATGCATTTAGAGACAGCAGATCCTACCTGGCAATGGCCACCTATAGTAAGAGAGGCCTGTCCACCATGTAGATATAAAGGGAAGAGGGGACCCCCACCACTGCCCCCTCTAAAAGCAGGTTGTGCCCTTGCTCTCACCCTTTCAACATTTACCTTTTTATCTACCCCTCCTAAGAAATAGGATCTTGGGTGTTGGAGCATTTCAAGTAAAGCAAGTCTCTTTGGAGAAAAATGCTGATAACTCACCAGAATAGCATCTTAAAATTGCCTGGCGCTCTTCAAAATACAGGTTAAAGGCTTCCTTGAAAGTTTGCCCAAATGACAGTGAAATGTTTCTAAAAGGTGTAAACAGGTAAGACAGAGGAAGCCACAGACGGTGGAAGGCAATCGTTGGCACATGGAGAGATGGCTGACTAAGCACACAGGGGAAGATTGGGTTCAGAGTGCCCAGGCAGAGTGGGATGCCAAGGAAGGCAAATGAGCCCCTCTTAAAGCTCTGGCAACTTTCTAAGGCTCAGGCACGCCAGCGCCTTTGAACATGGGGGGCAAGGGGTTTGGTTAGAAGCTATCTGCATGAAGAGCCCTGGCTCTCAGCCTCCTCCCCACCCAATGCTGTCGGGCTGCAGGAACAGAGACGCTTGCTCCTTCCTTCGCACACAGTAAGAGACGCTGGGAACGCAGCCCGGAGTTTTACTACCACTGGGATCAATAGCTGACAAATCTTCCGGCCTCGCTTTCATGGCTCTGACTTGGTCAGCTCCTAGTTCCCATCCTTGTTCAAGGGAGAGAGGGTCCAGGGTGCAGTGGGCTGTCCTCCCTCCCCAGGAGCGCAGGTGCTTTCCTGGAGAATGCTTTACTTGTGACTCCTGGTTGCTTGGGACCAATATTGCCACAGCAGCAAGGACAACCAGAGGCTCCCACTGGAGGCCGGAGTGGGGGGGGGGGAGGACTCCATGGTGACTGGTTATGTGGATGCTCAGGGTCAGAGATCTTATCCCATGGGCTAGTTACTTTCTCAGCATGGAATTCCCGATCCTTTGCCAGGGCTGTGGCATCCCCCAGAGGTGGGGGACCTGGAGTTTCACTAGATCACTTCCCTCACCCAAGGTCCCTCCCTCCTGCCATTGCTGAGCCAGATTACTGCTCCCAGGGTCAGGGGCAGGCGGTGGCCAAGGCTTTGGCTGGGAGGACTGGAGGACGTCCCTCTGGGTCTGCTTCCCACCAACCCTCCTGTTTCTAGACCAAAGCCCTAGTTTCACCTTCCTCGTCCTCAGGAATGGTGGGTTCTGAACCCTGAACAAGCTTATTCACCTGCCCCCACCGCTGGCAGAATGAAGAACACAGAAACTAAAGCCATGCATCCCTTGTCATTCCCTTCCTGTCTTTATCCTCCCTGCCACCCGCCTCTAGGGAATGGAACCACACGAGAGCCATCATCTGCACACACTGCAGTCATCATCGGTAAAGACTTCGCCCAGGCAACCAGCCTGGCTGCAGTTACAGGTGGAAGGAGAAGCCCAGGAAGTAAAGATCAAGAAGCAAATTTATCTACCTCACAAACAGGGCACGCACATAACTGGCTGGGAAACCAGGAAAAGGGGCTCCGTTTCATTAGTCATCAGAGACACGCCGATAGCAACCACAGTGCAAAACCTCTGGACACCCACTTGGGTAGCTGAGATGAAAAAGATAAAAAATACCAAGTGCCCAAGAGTGCTGAGAAGCCCAAAATCTCACACTTTTGCAGGTGTGGTGCCAATTGGTAGAACCACTGCCCTGTCTGTCAAGGTGAACCCAGCCCCTCTGAGGGTCTGACAAACCTACTCCCAGTTATAGCTCTGGCAGCGACACGTGCATATGTGGCCCCTGAGTTCATGAACGAGAATATTCATGGCTGCCCTATCGCTGGTACCCTCAGCCCCCAAAACTAGAAACTGCCTAATGCCTACCTAAGACAGACTGGATATATAACTGGGAGCCTACTCATACACGAAAATCCTATTTGTCAGTGAGGACAAACCAAAATCAAACTCTAAGCAGGAACAGGGGCCAATCTCATGACGTTGACTGGATCAGGAGGAAGTAGGCAAGGGAGTTCCTATTTTGTGTTCCCATGGACAAAGTTCTTGCAGCAGACAGCAGGTACAGGGGACCATCTAGAGTTTAGTGGATCAACTGGAGAAGAGTGTGACCGGGCACAGGGTCTACAGATGTGTTTAAACGATAGCAGTTCATGAATAGAAAGGGGTTGGTGTACCTTTCTGTATGTAAGGAAAAAAGAAGTTAAACAAGGAGAGCCTGAGGCAGTAACAAACAGGAAAATCACACAAATAATGCCACTAATTTTCTACACCGGCTACCCAGCATACCCATTAGAGAGGGAAAGTCAGAGAGAAGAGGTGTCATATGAATGGACATTGACAAGACCCTGAACCCCACTTTGAACCTGAGGTGGGGGAAGGCTAGAGGAAGCTGCTCATTCTCTGCAAGAATATCGCATCTCCTCCTCTGGTACAATAGGGTCTGGGGCAGGGCATCTAGGTTCCTTGTAGGCAGGAAGAGCCCCTTTTCCTGCCCCTTGACCTTTCTTATTCTCTGTGGATTCTCTCGGACCACCTGATGCTGTTGAGGCACGTGGTCAGCCTTCTCCTGGGCACCTCAACCCTCTTTCGAATCCAGGACTTATTCTCACCTCTCCCACGGTCAGTATCCAACTTCCTAGTCCTCAGGAGGAAGGTGGAACCCCCGGCTCTGAAGAGCTTACATACACCAGGTGGGGTGCTCTTCCAGAGCCGTCTTCTGCTGTCCCAGTGCTCCTTTGCAAGTTGGCATCTTCACTCTGAGTCCCAGAAGCTCGGGTGGAAGACCCGAGGGAGAACCCCACTCTACTGTCCTCTGGACCTCCTCTTCACGAGGTGAATGGTCAGGGAAGATTGGTCCAGATGCCAGCGGCACTCTGGGGCGAATTGACATTACCTGCACTTCCCTCTCTGACCACTAGTGGGAGATGCTGGACAACCAGAGGCCTCTCCCTTGCAGAGGGGTACTGTGGTTCCACCAACAACTTACCCAGGTCCTGAAATTTCCTGGAGCTTGACTTTCCTATAGATTCCCCAGCGGGGCTCTTCCTTCTGCACATCTTCTTCCGGGAGCTCTCCTTTCTGGTCCTACCAAAGGGACTGTGGCCCCCTGGTGACTTCACCGAGACCCCAATAAAGGACAGGAGACTCAGAGGCTCTGAGCTCCTAAGGCCACAAAAGCCCCAGCACCTCATTATCCTCCAGGCACATTTCTTGCTCCTAAGGAGTCTTGAAAACAGCTAGGAAGGAAAGTAAAAAAAGAAGCTGGGGAAGAAAGAAGACAGTGCGTGTGCCCCTGTGTGTGTGAGTACTCTGAGCATACCTGTGTGGGTGTCCTGAGTGAATAGACCCTGTGTATGTGTGCATGCTATGTGGCTATCCCTCTGTGTGTGTATTCTGTGAATATACTCATGTATATTGTGTGAATACAGTTGTGTGTGCACATGTGTTATGTGTGCATTATACCTATGTGTGCATGCATGCGTCCTGTGTAATTATACATTTGCGCAAATGTGTGCTGTGTGATTACACCTGTGTGCATGTGTACTGTGTGACAATGCCTGTGTGCTGTATGACTCTGTGTGTGTGCATGTGTGCTGTTTGGCTATACCTGTGTGTGCATGTATGCTGTGTGACTATACCTGTGTGCTATGTGACTATACCTGTGTGTGTGCATGCGTGCAATGTGACTGTGATTGTGTGTGTGATGTGTGACTGTGCTTGTGTGTGACTTGATCTGTGTGTATGCGTGCTGTGTGCCATACCTCTGGGTGCTCTGTGTGTATGGGTGCTATGAGCGGTGCACAAGAGCTGTGGTTTGTCTAGTTTAAATAAAAAAATGTCTTCCTGGGTGGTTTTTGGGTTGCATCTGTCACGTGCAGATCTGCATTCTATCGGGTGTGAGGCAGTGTCCAGACCTATGACTGGGTCAGCGTGTTGCTGTGCAGAGGTGGAGGCTGGGTAGCTCCATGGGGTGCCGGGTCGGCTCCCATCTGGGGGCACCTCCTGGTTTCCCGGTCTCTGTGGCTCCCGCGACCTATTGTCAAGGCAGGTGCGCATCATGGTGCAACCTAGGTGCTCCCGTGCGCGCCCCTGGAATATGTGTGTTTCTGTGTGAGCGCGTGTCTCTGTGTCACTGTGTCAGTGAAAGTGTGCCTCTGGATCATGTGGGTGTCACCGAGTTCGTCGGTGTGCCTATGACGATGTGTCTGCCTGTGTCCATGTGAGCGCGCGCGGGTGCCGGTGCGCCGGGGTGCCTGTACCCGCCGCCTCCCCACCCCGGAGGACCCTGGAGGGGTCTGCGAGAATGGGAGTCCAGTCTCAGGTCTCCAAATCGGAGAGGCGGGGTGCGTGTTCTGTGTGAGGGTGCGCGGCTGTCCGTGTCCGCGTGGGTGGCTCTCGGTGTCGAGGCGTCCCCAAGTCGGAGTGTGTGTGCGTGTGTGCGTGTGTGTGCGCGCGTGTGTGAGCCCGTGTGTGTGTGTGTGTGTGTGTGTGTGTGTGTGTGTGGTGTGTGCGCGCGCGCGCCCCGGGGTGCGTGCGTGTCGAGTCCGTCCGTGTCCGCGTGGGCGGCAGTCTGCGGCGGGGCGCCCCGGGGTCAGCGTTGAGGGGGGTGCGCGCCGGCTGGGGGCCCCGGGGGCTCACCCAGCGGGCGGGCGGAGCGCCACGTGCCGAGCCGGGGCGCGCGGCTCTGGGGCGGAGCCAGCCCGGGGCCCCCGAGCCCCAGGCCGAGCCCAGGCGGGGCCCGCCCCCGACCCCGCCCCCAGCCCGAGCCTGAACCGCCCGAGGAGCCGCGGAGCCGAGACGGCCGCGGCGCCCCAGCGAAACGGGGATCGCGCCCCCGGGGCCGCTGAGCCTGCGCCGGTGCCCGAAGCCCCGCGCGCACAGCCGAGTCCGCGCCGCGCCGCAGACGCCCATCCCGGGGCCCGGGCTGGGGAACCCGCAGGTAAGCGAGCGCCCCCGTGACCCGGCGGTCCGCGCCCCGCCGGAGCCCCCTCCGCCCGCCGCCGCCCAACTTTCCTCTCCGAGGGTCCCCAACGCCGGCCCCTGTGCGCCCCCTCCCCAGCCCCGGGTCCGCCCGCGGCTCCCTCCCCCATCGCTGCCCCGAGGGTGGACGAAGGGGGGAAGGGGACACGGAGCTACCTGGCCGGAGGGTATCCCCTTAGTGTGTTTGGGGGGGAACGTCTGGTCGCCGCCCGCCCCCACCCCTCCCCTCTCCTTCCGGCTTCCCCGGTGCGCTGTCGAGGGCCGGGGGAGGGGAAGTCGCGGCCCCGGCTTCCCGGCCCCTCTGGCGCAGACTGGGCAGGGTCTGAGATGGGAACCCACGTTCCCGAGCCCGAGACCCCCAAGGTCAGAGCGGCTGCTGGGCGCGCGGTGAGCGAGGTTCCCGGGAGGGCCGGGGGCGCACGGGGCGGGGTGGGGGAGGGGGCCGAGCGGAGCCGTCCGCCGGGGCGTCCTCGCCGGGACGACACCCGCCGGCCCGAGCCGGGGACCGAGCTGTCCCCGCGCCGAGCAGAGATCGAGCTGCGCGTCCTGTCTCTGCGCGCCCGGCTCCCGGGGAGGTCTAGGTGCCCGCTGGCACCCCAGCCCGCCGTCCCGGGGCTCGTGCGCCCTGTTGGCGGGGGGGCGCGTGTGTGTCCCGCGCCCGGCCGCCGGGGCACCTCTGGGCGCTGGCACTGGAGGAGAGTTCGCTGCCCTGCCGGCGGGCCGGCCGGGGCCCCGGCGGTTGGCGTCCTCGGTGTTATTCGATCATCGTCTTTGGTGGCGCCCGCGGAGGAAGTAGAGGTGCTGAGCCTTGTGCGGGCCGGAGGTGTGGAGACTGGGAGTTGGGGGTGGGTGCTGGGCGCCAGGCCCTGGCCCTAGGCCCGCCTCACAGACACCTGTTGGAGGCCAGCTCACCGCCGACTCGCCGAGGTTGTGGATGGAGCCAGCTCTTCTTGGTGCCTTGAGGCCGCCGGACGGAGGTGGCGGCACCCAAAGCTTGTCCCGGGGTCCTGGGCTGGCATTCCCTTTCCGCAGCTGAGTCCTCACCTCACCTCCTGCAGGGCGCCCAGACAGCACTTCCAGACCCGCGTCCAGTGTACCCCACCCTACCAGAGCACCTCTGGCCGCTCCTGGGTCCCCATCCTCCCCACTGGAGCTCAGGCTGTTGCTCTGTCCTGGCCTTGTCCCAGTTCCCCTGAGGATGGGGCAGGTGTGCCTGGAGCTAGCAGCTGTGTGAGGGGCCACCAGCTAGTAGCCAAAGCCACGCTGCAGTCCCGGGAACGGAGAGAGGACAGGCAGGGTGGGACACGGATTTCATGCTCCAGGGTACATCCCAGTGCTAAGATGAGCCCCTCTAAACTCTTAATCCGACCCCATGATCGCCACCCGCCTTGTCCAGGGGAAGCAGGCCAAGAGCCAGTCAAGGACTTGTCCAAGGTCACGTGGAGAATGGATTAGGGGCCACCACTCAGGATGGAGATCCCGGCAGTCTGCTTCCTGGGGGCCAGGCTGGTCTCATGCTGACCCAAGAGGATCTGAGCCAAAGAGCAGAAAGGGGACCTGGCCCTGGGGTGCCAGGATCCCGCCTTCATGCCAGCATGGCAGGGGCAACTGCTGGGCCTCCGGGTGCTGGGCTCTGCGTCTGTGTGGTGCTCAGAGCTCCTCTGGAAGAATTCCAGATTGACTCACGCCTCATGAAGACGAGACTCAGAGAGTGGTGAGACCAGAGACAGCTGGGAGATGGGCAGCCGGGGCAGGAGGAGGGGGAGGGTGCTGGTTACCGGGCAGGCCCAGGGGAAGGGTGTCATGGGGACAGCCTGGGACAGTGGTCTCTTCTGTCCACAGGAAGTTCCCTCTTGCTGTCCTGGGGGAGGCCAGTGAGAGGGTGAGCTGTGGGAGATAGCATCCCCATTGTCCGTAAAAGAGGAGGGTTCCCTTTGGCCAGGACAGTTGTGGTGGTGTGTGCTCTCTCTCTCTCTTTCTCTCTCTCATTCTCTCTTTCTCTCTCTTTCACTCTCTTTTGCTCTCTCTCACACACACACTTTCACTCTCTTTTGCTCTCTCCTCTCTCCTCTCTCTCTCTCTCTCACACACACACACACACACACACACACACACACACACACACACACAGTGACCTGGGTTTTGAAGATTGAATAGGAGTTTTCTAGGTGAAGCAGGTGCAAGCCGGCCACCAGGACTAGCGTGTGCATCAGCACAGAGAGGAGGAAGGGCAGTTCAGCGATCTGTTGCATCTTGTGGTAGGAGGGAGAGAGGAGCAGAAGCTGAAGCTGAAGCCAAAGTCAGGGGCACGGGCACCTCGTGCAGAAATTGGGACTATAGCCTCAGTAACGGCACTAAAAATAGCCCACATGCACGGAGGGCTGTGCGCCAGCCAGGCGCCACGCCGAGCACTTTATAAAGCCCATCTCGCTGGACATGGAGGCAGAGGTCAGAAGAAGGACCATTTCACAGATGGTGAAGGGAAGACCCCAAAAGGTCAATGATTTGCTCACGCAGCTGCTGCACAGTTGGACTCAGGGCTGAGCTGAGAGGCCTGTCCCTCTGTGCTGTGTCGGATGACTTTTCCAGGACAGGCCCCTAGTGTCATCTCAAGTCACCACAGTGAAGGAGAGGGACCAGGTGACATAGCCTGTGGCCCTCCATCCTCCTTGCCCCTGGAAGGGACCTGCCACTCTCTCGGTCACTGATTTCAGTTGCTCCTTAAACAGTGTCCCTTGTTACCGGGTAAACATGCTGGGGTTGTTGGAGGGAGCACAAGAACAGGCAAGTGACATTTGGGTCGGCAAGCTAGATAAAGAACAAAGGAGAAGCATTTGCTTTTCTTTCAGTCTTCTGGTTTGGACCTGGAGTACTTCCTGGGAGAGAGGTAGTGGGAGGGGAGGGTGCCCCCAGGGTCAAGGAGGAAATCTGAGCTGGCAGTCGATGGGTGGAATTGCTAGTGTGGTGGGCCAGCCTTGGAATTACATTGTCCAGCGGGAAGACAGACCAGTGGGTTCTCCACAGTGGCTGGCGGCACTGGCATCACTTGCAAAGCTTAAGAAAACAGGAGAAAAAAAAATCCTACTGTCCAGGCTTCTCTCTGAGAATCTAATTGATTCGACTCCATGGTGAGGCCCAGGCAGCCGTCCTCCTGCAAGTGCCCAGGTGAGACCAAGCTGGAGAAGAGGGTCAGAGAGAAGAGGATTGACTCTGGAGCTCGGAGCAGTCCTCCCTGCGGAGCGGAAGTCCGCAAAGCAGGCTGGGAAGGAGCAGTCAGGGGTGTGGGTGGAGAGCCGGGTGTGGGAGCTGTCACAGAAAGTGGGGAGGGGCAGATGGAAGGAAGGGGAGTCCCCAGCTTCCTCCCTCCAAGAGTGTTAGGAGAAGTTGATGGGGAGATTAAACAGCCTGCATAACTTAAAAACAGGGGCCATCAGATGGTGCACGCATCTGGGCATAGTGACCTTGACTATGGAAGCTTCTGGGAATGGCCCCTTTTGCTCCCAAGCACCTGGTGCCCCCGCATGGACAAACTAGGGGTGAATGGGAACGAGAACCAGTCTGATGTGAGTGGAGGAGTAAACTGGAGGTGAGGATATAGAGACAACAGGTGTAGACGGCATGTGGGCAGAGTTTTGATGATTTTTTTTTTGCTTTTTGGGTCACACCCGGTGATGCACAGGGGTTACTTCTGGCTCTGCACTCAGGAATAACCCCTGGTGGTGCTCAGGGGGCCATATGGGATGCTGGGAATCAAACCCAGGTTGGCTGCGTGCAAGGCAAATGCCCTACCTGTTGTGCTATCGCTTCAGCCCTACATTTTGATGATTTAAGAGGGAGAAAATAGAGGGGAGCAGTGAGGGGGGTTGAGTGGAGTTGGTAGGGAGAGTCCCGTGGTCACTTGGAGTCGTGCGGGTCATCTGCTGCACCCATGTGTGGAGGCTGACAGGAAGCACCTCCTGCCCTAAGAGGCCAGAGGCCCTGGTCTAAGAGAAAATGCGCTCGTGGTGTCTCAGCAGTGCCCATTAGTCCAGTGGGCTCGAGGCGGGTAAGGGGTGAGCTGGAACTCAGAGCTAATGAGTCTCAGAGCATCAGAGGATGAGGATGGTAGGAGCCATGGGTTCCCACTGGGGTCTGGGCAGGAAGGGAAGGAAGCTCCTGCTCTGAGAAGATAAAGTGTTCCAGAAGGCAGGATTTGGGCACAAAATAAGGTTATGTGGAAGAGTTATCCAGGAGTAGCAGAGCTGCAGTGAAAGTCCTATGGCTAAATGCCGAGGAAACAGGAGAAGGTGTACGCTCTGGCCAGAGGCAGAGGCCTCAGGGGGATGGTCAGAGGCTGTAGACAGCCTAGAACTGGAGGTCCCCTGTCTGCCCTCGGCCAGGCAAGGCCTGCCCCAGATGACCAGATTCAGAAGCATGAATAGATATTAAGTACCTTATTCCGGGCCGTGGAAAGTTCTAGAAAGTTCTAGAAAGTGTACAATTCTTGTATAACTCACATCTCTGATGAAATAGGGGGCAAGACAGACCAGCTACCACAAAGGCACAAGACAAATTCTGAGAGTGTGCTGCAAAGGAAACGAATGGGACGGGGGCAAGGAGCAGGTAGGAGTGACTAGACTTGGCTGGTCAGGAAAGGCCACTTGAAGGGAGGAGACTGAACTGAGGCCCAGAAGACAAGAGGAAATCTGGAAGAAGTGGCTTTGAAAGAGGGAACTGTATGTGCAAAGGCCCGGAGGCCTGGGGCTAACCCACCCCACCCTCAGGAGCTGCAGCAGAAGGGTTGGGGGCCGGGAAGCATGGAGAGGTTCCTTGCCTCCATTTGCAACCCCCCACTCCCTGAGCCGGCTGCCCTGTCCACTGTGAGGCTCACGCCACTCGCCTGGGCTGGCAACGGTTCCTGGGGATGAGCCTATTTTTAGATTCAACTCCTCTCCGTGGGCCTAGAACATACCGTGTCTT